CTTCATGAACAAGATAAACCAGGGAATGTAAGGATACAGCCAGAGTCATTGAATCCAAGGAACCCAAGTGCAATAGCAATTTATCCAGACTATGGAACTGGATGGCCCCATGTTGGTTATATATTGCTTCTGAACTATGCAAGTATCTGCACCCATTAATTGCTGCAGGAGATGTCATGGATGTCTATGTTCAGCATATCAAGTATAGGGTTGACTTTTTTAAAATAGGATTTTATCCAAAAATTAAGTTTCATAGAGACATGGTTAGTGCATGGGAGACTCAAGTGGTAGGAAAAGCATGAGTGTATGTTGACAGATGTTTTTTATATAAATAATAGCAACTATGTTTAGCAAGTTATTGAAGTGCATTTATTTCAATTGGCTAACTTTTTAGATTTTTTCCAGCATTTTTTAAACAAACCATGGGTTATAAATGATAACTTTCTATATCTAATTAAAAAAATCTGTCATGTACACTCATGCAAAATAAGTACATAACTATAAAGTTTGTTCGTTCACTGCAACCAGCTATATCAATCATGTTTCGCTCGCTACTCTGGTTTACTCAAGACACAACAATTAAGCTTTGCAAGACCATAAAATGAAATAAAAACCTAAATAAACTGTTTGTATAATAAAAAGAGGGCACATTTTGTGCACATGAGCAGATCGGACTGTATCGCATCTTTAATAGTATGTTATTAAATGACTATGCTTATGGTATGCATTAATTAATTGTCCCCGGGGTGGGGCATTTTCCACTCTCAGCTTGCCCAAGTGCCGTGCATTAGTCTCCTAGTTGTGTCCCGGTACCTGGGCATTTGCACTATCGTAACCAGTCAAATCAAATGCCCGGGTGTGTTCCGGGGGGGGGGGGGTGATTACTCCCGGAATTGACTCGTGCATAATATTTATTAAATTTCAATAAATTGACCACAATAACATGCCTATATGATAATTATAATTTGATATAATGATGTACATGATAATACAATAAAAACTTGTTTTATTGTTTTAAAACAAGTGGAGCTCTCTGCTGGTTTTAAATGGGCTGTTATAACACTGAGTTGTCCATGCTGAGGACTCCGCAGCTCGATTTGAAACAAAAACCCCAGGATCAGGCGTTCAGCTCGTATGGGAATATGTACACGATCCAGTCGCGTCGGCCAAAGACAGAAAAACTCATAAGTCTTCTAAATAATATTTTAACACTTTAACAAAAATTCATTGAAAATATAATCTTTGATGGCGCAAATTCTTTCCAAGGTATTAGACGCCATTTAGCGAACGTCGAGTTGACAATAGTCGATTCAATGGCCAATATCTCGAAAACTGCCGGGGGATTACCGGGATCATTCCAGCAGATTTAAAGCTTATATTTTTTTCTTGACGACTGCCAAAAATGAGGAAAATCGAACCCTCTAGATATTTCATTTTAAACATTGTAAACATATTTAGACTTGAGTCAACACGTCATGGGGAGTCGTCTAACTTCAAACATCAAAATAACATTGAAAATAACGTTTACCTTAGAGATTTTTGCAGATATCACCGATCTTTAGCAGTAGTACTACTACATTTGAAATTTTCCAAGAAAATTTTAATATTAATGTTTTTTTTTCGATTTATTTTCCATCGAATACAAATTTTTCTGCCCCAATTCTGTAGAAACCACGATGGAAAATAGAGCGATCTCATTGGTCGAGAGCTCACGTGACAACTCGCTAATTGCTTGTCCGACCTCCTCTGCACAGACGTGAAGATAAACAAACAAGCACGATGAATTATAATCAACCACTTACAATTTATGTGACGGTAAAATTAACAACACGCTCGATTCCAGCTTCGTTGGAAAGGAAAACAGTTCATGTTTTAGACAAAATGTTGATATGTTATATTTTAGACAAAATTCCCAAACATTAAACATTCAAAGCAAACTTGCCCTATATTTCACGATTTCCCAGAGTAAATCAATTCCTCTCATTTTGTCAAACAAAAATTGCTTCAAAGCTCTTAATTGTACATGAAACGATTTTTTAAATATATGTTTTTGAAAATTGAAATATTGCATTTCCAATTCCTGGCAAGCAGCCATATTTTTGAGTTCAGTGAAGAGGTCCACCCATACACCATGAACCTTGACACCACTTTAGACTTCGCTAATGCTTTCTTTTGCCCAGGTGTAAATAGCCGGGAGGAATTAATACCCTTGCCCTGGGCTTATGCCCAGAATTAGTACCCTTGCCTGGGCGTTGCCTTTTGCAATATAATTATGATTAAATTCACTAACTTTCACACACATAGAAAGCTAATGCCCTGGGTATCCCGGAGATGCGGGGGGGGGGGAGGGAGTGGATCAATTGACCAGTGCATAATGCCCTCCTTCTCTTAATGAGTGGCACCTCAGCGTGCACATGCATTGCAGATTAATTCAATGGGTTAACTATCTTAGTCATGCTTGTGGCATTACAGTTTATCATTTTGTTTTCTGATAGCTGTATACAGTCGTAATTTCAGACCTCCAAAGTGACCCAATTTATTGTTGAAGACATTTGGGAGCTTGTTGTTGTTGTAAGATTTATAGCTGCATCATTGCAAGGGGTCTGAAAAGTCACCAGTAATTAGAAAAGTATTTTAAATGCTGGAAGATAAGGAGATGATGATAGAATACTGGAAAGTCTCGTGGA